AGGTTCCTTTTGACAGTGATTTGTGAGACCAAAAATTCCAGAAACAGAATTTATATTCTGTCCAAATGACCGCTTTTTGTGCAAAGGACTTTGATTTTAAAATATATAATTTCTAGACTATTTTTAGAGCAAATAAGTATCAACTTTAATTCATAAAAACTCGTTGGCATTACATAAGATATAATTTGACTTTATCTTTATTGAGACCCGTTAGGTGATCTAATTATTGGATTTCGGACTGTTTAGAAAGGTTAGGGCGGACGTTTAGCGCTTCAAACGTCATCAAGTTCTTGAATATTCATCAGCTAATTTGTGAGTATTCACAGCCCCACTTTTAATGTTTTGTGTTTATTTAAACTGGGGGAAAAGCATAAAGTTATGCAAACTATACTGTTATTTATTAAACTGTTGGACTAAAGAAMTGTTTAGTCAAGATTTGTTTAAAACTGTTGGACTAAAGAACTGTTTAGTCAAGTTTTGTTTATGTCATGAAATATTGACGGTTTTGTACTATGATATAAGTGTTAAATTGATGTACTTGAGAGTATGTTTCCAAATAAAGTCCCCGTCCGTAAACGCTACTTGTTAACTCGGGCATGTCCCCAGGCCGTGGTAATTGTGGATAGCCGCTATTGTGTTGACAGTCCCACCCAGAAAGGGGTGCACATTACCTATGTTTTATTTAGTCTAATCATGTGGAATTTGGACCACCGCTGAATTAGTACTACTACGAACTGTGGGACCTAAGTGAGTGTCCGGGCTACTTATGGTCGTTCGTAAAATAATGGGGCACATTGGTCAGGAAAGGCTCAGTAGCGTCTCAAGTTTTAAACATCGTTGTAGATTTACATTTATTATGTGCAAGTTTATGTATAAGTTTGCAAGAAATGATTTATGCATTGTAATGTTTTGTGCATATGGAAACCCGTGAACTCACCACCTCTTTGTAGTTGACGTTGTTTTATGTTTCATRCTTTTCAGGATTTAAGTAAGAAATGAAGTTTTTGGAGCATATATGTGGCGACACCGATTAAGTTCATTTTGTATCTTTTGTAAAGTAGTATTCAAACACCAACTTGGTTATGGATGTAATCTTGGTTTGTAAAGAAGTATTCAAACACCAACTTGGTTATAGATTTGAGTCCTTACTTCTTTGTGATTTGAGAACTCAAAGATATTGCTCTCTGATTCCTCATAAAAATAATCATTCTGTTCCAAAACACTTTTAATCAATATCAAGGCCATAGGCCAAATTTTCCACTTCTCAATAACATCAATACTATTATTTCTAATAAGAACAATATCTTTGAGTTCTTAAATCACTAAGAAGTAAGGACTCAAATCTATAACCAAGTTGGTGTTTGAATACTTCTTTACAAACCAAGATTACATCCATAACCAAGTTGATGTTTGAATACTTCTTAAACAACATTCCAGATATCTTTGGCATTAGCCATGAACATCATAACCATAGAACTCCATAACCACGCCATGATCATATAATCTTATTCGTCCCAGGCTTTAGATAGGGGATCTTCAAGTTTTGATCTAGTCCTAGTGTGATGACTGATTTTTCCCTTCCCTTTCAGGATGGTTCATACCAGTTGGGACCACGTGAGATGGTTCTTACCATCCACGGATGTGTGGTAATTTTCCTGGCTATTGAATGTGAGTGGGTTGAGATTGAGATGCGAGGTCTGACTTGGTCTCTATCATTCTTTTGGTTGTTGATTGAGAGGTGTAGGTATGAGAGGCTTATGAATTTATGGCGATAAAGGCCAGAAAAACAGCTTTACGATAAACAGGCGATAAAGGCCAGGAAATAGAAATACACAGGCAATGAAGGTCAAAGGAATTCCCATGTTTAGGTATCTCTAATACCATAACAAATAGGGGATTTCCAATGTAATGATTATTGAAAGAAATCATACAAAATATATATACTAAAGGCTAAGCTATAATAAAAGGAAACTATCCTATGAAATCGCAAATTTTATAGGATTATACATGATTACAGATTCCATGGGATTATACACGATCCCCTGTTGAATACATAATCATTTCCATTTTCCCGCAGTTTATTATTTTTCTATTTGAGTCTTCCTTTATTCTTTCCACGATATTGCGATGTAAATTGTGGGTGCTCCTTAGCTTTTCTCTTGTTTTTTCCGGCTATTTAAGCCTCATCCTGGTTGATCAATAATTAAGCTTATATCTAAATTATCTTGCCTTCTGTGTTGATTTTGTGAGCCACAAACACCAACATGGCGGTCAAGCTTCATATCTTGCAACCTTTTTTGACCAAGTGAACCAAATCCTCCGATAAGGGAAGCGACCATGGATGTGAATTGTAACGGTCTCATTGCAGCACAAGAGGATGAAAAACGTGTTGTCATGGTTAACTACTGCTATGGAAGTTTGTCCAAAGAGGCCATAGTTGTTGGTGTTTTTGTATCAACTATGTTGAGTGAGTGTTTTAATTGTGAATGTGTGTGTATTAGGAAGAAAACACTAATAAGACCCACGAGAAGTCGTCTTGTTTATCTTGGTGATTATGAATGTATGTATGCAATATTCTTATTCTAATTCCTCGAATATATTAAACCTAACGTTTGAACCAAATCGATGGACAAAGAAAGACCGAAATCAATGGAGAAACCAGAAACATAAATCAAAATTGATAGAGAAACAGAAACATAAATCAAAATCGATGAAGAAACAAAAATTGAAATCGATGGGACTAAGACAAATCGAAATCGATGGAGAGTATGCCTTTAAGAGAGATCACAATCGGTGGAGAGAAATCGAAATCCATGGGACTAAGCGTGGGAGGTTGTCGACCTTCAAGGGCAAACGTGGAAAAAGTAGGCTTATGAACCATTTTGCTTTGGCCCAGATACAAAAATTGTTCATAGCATTTTGGTATCATCAAGAGGTTTAATTTTTTTTTTTTTGTTAAACAAGACTTACCTCCACGCGATTCGGAGGTTGTCTCTTAATGACACCATTAAAATGTAAACAAACACCCCCTTAAACATAACGGTCTTTTGGATTTTATATCCTACAAAAATGGAAAGTGGTTGGTCGTTCGGTCGAGACTATTCCTTGAAGTCTTACCCTCCAATGATGCATGAGTCTTCCACCGATTGACATAAATGTCGATTAAGCAATTCCCCCCATTCCGATGAAGGGAATCACCCGTGGAAATCAAGGGTTCAAGTCTCAGCCAAATATGAGAAATGTGTGAGTTTAATTTGTCGTATATTGATATTATATACTTCAAAGAAAAAGTTTGTTGTTCAACAAGGCATGGGTTCGAATGTCATTTTAGCAAATTTCCTATTTTTCAGCCTTCAGTTTTGGGTTTCTATATTGATTGCTTCTGATGTTTAAAAGGAAAATACGAAGAAAACAGGCTATGAGAGGGGTTGAACCCATGACCCTTCCTTGTGAAGGCAACCAACCAACTAAACATTTGTCACTTTGTGAAAACTTTCTATAGCTTTCACCCTATTGTAAAATAATGCCACTGCTGTTTAAACAAGTCAAATAATGTCTCTGTTTAAACAATTTTTCTGGGTCCGCCTATACATTCGAAGCCTACTCATAATAACCTTAAAACTCAAGGGCTGTTTGTTTACCTCTAGTTCCATTAAGAGTCAGTCTTTGAATTACCAAAAGGTGAATCTTGTTTGGCAAAAAAAAGTCACTCTTAATGATTCTAAAACTCTCTGAATTGTTTCGTATCTTAAACCTCTCTGAACCATTTAGCACCTTAATTTCATTATGAACAATTAACAAACAACCATATTTCATTTTGCACTATACCATAAACGCCTCTTAATCATTTTGGTCACTTAACCATCCTGCACCAAACCATTCAGCAACTGCCAAACAGCTTCTTAATCTTAAACTTGTTAGTTTCCCCCAGGTTTCCACACATTCACATTCAGGTTTTAAAGAACAAAATAGGGCCTCGAGGTCGATGCAATCGGAGGCGGAAAATAAAATTAAATAAAAATATTTATATGCATTAATACAAATCCAATAATAGTATTAAAATCTTAAAATATATTAATAGTTGTAATTTTGTAATTAATATTAGAAGATTTCATTGTTTACTATTTATTAGAAGTACATAATCTATGCAAACAAAGAAAACCTAATTAGATGCTCTTCAAAGTGGGAGACGAATAAGAACTACAAGCAGCAAGAGAGTAGGAGAATATGGGAGCAGAAAAAGACGACTTAAGAGGAGCAAGATAGGCTTTATATTATAGAAAGTAAAAATCAGTAAGGGGTTGTTTGGTTGGTTTTCCATTAAATCCTGTGAATAAAGTTGTCTCTGTGTTTCGTAGGGATTTTTTGTAAATGGAAGGAACCTGTCCTTTTAATTCAAAGGGGCAAGTTTGGGAAAAACTTAGTTTTCTGCAAATGCGGTGACTTCGGGCTATCTGCAAAGCAGGTGGTCGCCTGGGATTAGTCGGCTCGCATAGCGGGTTGGATATCCAGATTAATCAAAAAAAAAAAGTCCCTAAGTCGACTTTTAAACCCGAAAAGTTCTAACATATGCCTATTGCCTCAGTCCCACCTCAAGTCCCGCCCAGTGACCGGGGCGTACTACTCAACTAACCAACAAGAGGCGCCGTCTCAGACTCTGTTTCCTACCGCCTAGCCTTGAGGCATTTTAAACTGATGTTCACATTAGGTTTCTCTTTAGTCTTTTGAGAAAAAATCCAACACTTCCATGCCACACAAATACACCACAGGAAACAATATAGAGCTGTTAGCAAGTAGCAAAATCAAGAATACTTATTAGCAAGTAGCTTTTCTTGGTTATATTGTTTTGGGACTTCTAAAAGTTCATGCTTTTCTCAAGGCTGAAATCACTGAATCGAGAGTAATATACAAACTTCACTGCTTGATTTACAAGTCACTATACCACAACTTCATGCCAAGCCAAACACATGTACCAGAATAACAATTTAGATAGGCAGGGAAGCAACAGTAACAAGATTATTTTATTAGCAACAGCAAACTTTTGGAGTTACATTTTTTGGAACTTTGACAAAGGTCATGTTTTTTTCCAAGACTGAAATGACCAAATCAAGAGTAATATATAACTTTCATTGCACGAGTTAAAAGTTACTATACTATTATTGCTATGTATTTTAGCATTCTACGTGCTGAATTTATTCTAAATGCTATAAGAATGTTCAAATATGATAAATAAAACTGCACCCTTTTGCTTCATTTGGCAGAAGCAATGGACTTTTTTGGGTAAAAAAGACTAGTAGTAGTTCTTGTACCTCAGTTCGAAAACACAAGTAGATAGGGCTTCTTTTACTTGGAGATTGCTGGAGTCCATTAAAAGCGCATCCTCATAAAGCCTTTTCGCCTGGCTCAACAATTTAACCTTCTCTCTAAAGTTTCTTGTTCGTAACCGAGATCTTTGCTGTAATGCCACGCCCCATCTGAAAAGAGCTGCAAACAGACTTTTTATATCAAAAGACAAGAAAAATATCAAGGGCGTGTTTTTGGTTTGCTTATACAAGCAAGCGATGCTATGAGCGCTAATGACAAGGCATAGAGTGCTTAGAAGGAGATGCATGATAATTTGTGCTTAAAACTGCTCAAGACGGCTTACTCAGTACTTGATTATATTATTCTACACAGTGTATCTACAAGCATGCTTGAACCTAATATTATAAATAAAGTGGAGAGTTCTGGCATGTGTCTAAATACATAAATAGGTGTAGGAATAACAGAGCAGAAGAATCAATCCTGCACATACAAATAGCTCATGGTGCAGCGACAAGAGTTATGTCCACGGAGGAGTGCTAAATGAGTGATCATTAGATGAGGAAAACAATACACAAGTTGAAGGGAATTTATAGACTCCAACATGTATGTAATCTTTTTAGGGGTTCGAGTTAAAGTGATAAATCCCCAATGTGAACGGATAAATAAATTCCAAATGCCATTCTGCAAGCATGTGTTCGATTACATAAATAGATGTTGTGTATAATCAAAGCAGAAGATGAATCAATGACACAAAGAATACAATGATTTGCAAAGTTCATCCAACAGAGACGCATAAGTTTTTTAGTACATAGAGAAAAGAATATGGAAGATAATGGAAGTGCATAACTCAAAAGCAAGTCAAGTATTAAAGGGTCCAATACAGATCTAATCTTGTTAAAACTTGAACGTAAGATGATAAATTTTAGTTGTAGATATATTTCCAAAGTCCAATCTATTAGAAGCACGTGGACCCACTTGCTTTGAATGAATCTTCATTTTCAATCTCAAACATAGCACATACTGAATAGGCATTTTTCCAGGGCATCTCAACACCAGCTCAAGTATTTAGAGGCCGTCTTTGTTGCTTTATACAGCAAAAACTTTCGAGAGGATTGATAAAACTTGATAGAAGGGTCAAGGCTAGTAACAAATAACTACCATTTCCCAGCACTGTACATTTTTCTGGGTCCCATGTCTTTCTCATTGGCATCAAGTAAATGGATCCATATTTCACATCATAATTTCTTTTTCACTTCTTATATATAGAAACCACCTACTGAAGATGCTAAACTATCAAAAGCAATAGGAACAGGATGATTTGCATTGGGCCCTCAACAATGTATTCATATACGTTGCCTTCATATTCTTTCGGTATCTAAAAAACGTTAGCATCGACAATGCAATATGCCCTATGATTGATATTTTAATTGCCATAAAATTGCCTTGTTTAGCTATTACCATAAAAATGATATTTACTTGCATAACATAGTAAGTGTCCAAAAGACCAAGGAACACCATACCATCTGGTGTGTGAGCATTGCTTTTGGACATCATTGCATCGAATTTGTCAATGGCCGCCAAGTAAACCTTGTCAGCATCAAAAGCTGCTTCCTGAATTCACAATGTCAATGACGTGAACCGTATTATACTTTTTGATCAGATAAGATAAAAATTAGATAACTTTTAACTACAAGAGATGACATAACTAAAAACTACTTATAATAAACATTGTCAATAAGCACTTGGTCACCGAGAATTTATGATACCACCTCCACACACATATGTACAAAAGATATACATATGACTTTGAGATTAAAACTTTTTTTGTTCAAATTTATAAGTATCAAATATAACAGGGTTGTTTTTCTCTCTGCAATGTATGTTATAAGGTTCGATGTAAGAGAACAGCTAATTGACTCTTTGAATCATTTCATACAATCATCCTTGGGTTTTGTTGCAACCCAAGCCACCCTTCTTGCCAAAATGGGTGAAAAACACTGTATTTTGTCAGAGTGGCTGCTTTGGACAAACTGCAAAATGTAAATGCAAGAAACTGGAGAAACTTGTACTTGCCGCTTCTTGCCCGAAATCACTATCCTTGCAAAGTGTAGTGTTTTGCTTCTTACATTTTCATAAGAATAACGGTTCAATTGCAAAGGAAAAAAAGCAAGCGCAATTGTTCAAAATCAATAACTAGTAAAAGAATTCATACTATTTTGAAGTTAGAAAATTAGTCCATGATCCCAAAAGGCAAATTGTATTCATTTTCTGGAATTAGGGGGGTAGTCCACTATGTACAGTCTCAATCTCAACATATGAAACCTAAAAATAACAAGTTCTCAATAGGACATACATTGTTGTGCATACAAAGTCAAAAAAAAAAAAGAATCACTTTTCAGACCGTTGTACTTGCTATTTTGTCACAAACAAAAAAACCATCATTCTTGCAAAAATGCAAACAGAACACTACACTGTACATGAATAGACAATTTTGGCCAAAAAGTGTCGACTATGGGTTTTTTTATGTTTCTGCAATTTGTCCAAAATTACTTATCCTTGAAAACTGTAAGGTTATATCAATGACGCACAAGTTAAGATAGCCAAGGAGAGGAGACAGAAATAAACATTTCTTTTAGTCTAGCATCCTCATTTTGGATATTTGACATGTGCTTGTGTGTGTCTTAGTGTATCTTCCTTTTTCATATGTTCACTGAAAGTGCTTACAGGTCCGATATCTGCTATCAATTGAGCCCTGAAGGAGAGAGCAAGACCCCAGTTGTACAATGCTCTCATATCATTCCCATCAATTGATAATGCCAACCTATATTTCCTTCCAGCCTTAACTAGGAGTTCTTCACACTCTTCACAAACGTTAACAAGATAATCGACAAACTTTTCTCTGTTAGAGACCTCATCATCTAGTCTTTCTAGTACATTGGAGTCACTTTGTGCAAGTAGAGCTCTCAGTTTACGGCTGAGCTTCAGTTTCAATTCTCCATGAAGAAGGTAAGTGTTTCCCAATTGGCCCACAGCTAATAAACTCATTGGCTTCATTTCTACAGCTTTAGAGAGCAATTCGGTCGATCTATACAACATATTTTCTGCATCTTCTTCGATTCCTCTGTGTCTTAACCACTCTCTGGCTTGTTTTAGGAGTGCATTTGCCTCAGTTAGATACTCATTGAAAAGCATATCACCGGATATTTCTGAAGATGGAGAAGAAGCAAATCCATTCTGATTTCGGGGATCATTGTAAGCTTCTTTTTCCCTTGATTCCAAATTTTCGTACAGAATATTATTTCCATTAGTTTTTTTGAACTTGCCTTGTTCTTGCTGAAAAAGTTCCTCTGTTCTTCTTTGCTTAAGGCTAGCACTGAAATCCGAATCAAGGAAACCATCAACAAGCTCCCATGTTCGAACCGGATTCCTATTGTTCATGTCAAAGGAGAGACGTTCGTTCTTCATAAATCGCATTTTATTATCCTTAATGACGTACTCATCTCTGTTAAAAACCTGTTTAGCACCGGTATCCATCTCCATAAAAGTCATTTTAGCCATTCTACCCACTCCTTTTCCTCCATATGTTTCTTTAACTCTAACATCATCGTCGTTATATGTGTTTATGTTTTCACTCGGAATCGATTTGGTCGTCTTGCCTTCAACAAGAGGATCCATGACGTTTGCTGAACCATGATCACTAGCTTCTGTAAATCTTGAATCATTCATATTACTATCTTTCACTTCACTAGGCCTAGACCCAAAAGATCTTCCCCACAACCCATCAATGAACTCTGAGACATCAAACCGTTGCCCCTTCACCTCTTTCTTCTGATCACTTGGTTTCTGATTCGAAACATTCAACATATCACTGGTGTCAACTACCATATTATCCATATAACCTTCAATCATACCTTTAGCTTGCAAAAAAGCTTGTTCAATTGATTCTACACCCTCAACGTAACTCACTAGATCACTTTTACTAATTCTATTAGAATCAACGTCTTTTCTCATACTATTCTTTATATTCCTAATATTTACATCAAACCCATTTAACAACTCCACCAAATTCCTCAAATTTTCAATCAAAACCCTAATTTCATTATCTTTAAATCCTTTCTTCTTGTTTTTCTTACTACCATTACTCCGAAATGGACTCATAACCTCATTCAAATCCCCCCCCTTCACAATCCCAAATGAAAATCCGACGGCGAAAACAAGAAAACAAGCTGGGAAAACAACAATCGATGATATCCTAACCCTAGAAACAGCCAGAGCACATACAAAACCTAACAGATACACAAATGCATACTTTTTGTCATCGATTCCAAGTGAACTCAATAACCTGTTGAGTTGATTCGACTCACCTGAATCGTCAAAGGAGCTCAGATCGTCCCAACCACCGTAGTCGGCTGAACACGAACATAACACCGTAATTTTATATCTCGGAAGAGGTTTTGTGATTGAGAAGTTCAGAAAACTGCGATTCTTACGAGGAAGTGATGGGAAGTTAGAGATATAGGTGGTGAACTGAGGACTTGAAATAGCATTCGGAATTAGGGTTTTCATCGTCGGAGAGTGAACAAATTCGCCGGAGAAGGTATCGGCGGATATATTTTACATGGTCGCTAGCCGCTCGAGAATTTGCAGCATTTCCCTGTCGATAATCACTGAAATTGGGCAAGGAAAAAGGTAACGAGTTATCAATTAAATTCATAATACGAAAATATAATGGGTTAAAAGCAAGGGAAAAATTTTAAAAAAGTTAATGGATTTTAGTGTTTGAAATGATTAAGTTTTTTGATAATTTTTTAGAATAAATAAGTATTTATATATTTCAAAACATGTTAAATAATTTCTTGGACAATTTTTTGGAACAAATAAATCATTGTACATTCTAAAACATGTTAAATAACTCATTGGACAATTTAAAACATGTTAAATAACTTATTGGATAATTTTTTGGAACAAATAAGTCCTTAAACAATCCAAAACATGTTAAATAACTTCTTAGACTTTTCTAAAATCTGTTGGATACATTTTTATGACTTGTACAACTAGTTAATATGATAAAATAGTGAAAAAAGTCCGAAAAAAAAAACTCAATTAACATTCATATTTTGAACGATTAAGTCTCTCAACATTTTTTGAACAAAAAATGATTTAGATCTATAAAATTAAACAAATATAACAAAAAATACTTACATTTATAAAAAAAATTAATTACATTTAAATTTTTTTTTTTAATAAAAATCAGTAATTTTTCAAACTAAAAAAATAAAATAAAAATTATAAAGAATTATTGATTAAGTTTATTTTAATTAAAAATAAAATATATTACATATGTGATTTTTTAAATTAAAAAAAATTTAAAAGATTTAAAAAAAATTACTGATTATATTTATAAAAAATATTATATCAGTGATTTTTTAAATTAAAAAAATAAAAAAAATTAAAAAATTATTGATTATATTTATTTTTAATTAAAAATAAAATATATTACGTATATGATTTTTTAAATTAAAAAAATAAAAAAAAGTTTAAAAATGATTACTGATGAAATTTATTTTAATTAAAAATAAAAATATATTATT